AGTACCATGAATGGGACATAAAGATCAACCTCTAAGCTAAGACAGCTTACTTTGCCTTATTGGAAGGTCCGGGGTTTCGCGCTCTTCACCACCTCTATCTTCACGGCGCTCATCTCGCCTCCATGAATCATTTCTGCCGTTAAACCGGCGGCGCTGGGGGCTACGGTCTCTAAAGCCTTGGTTACCGTTCCAGGTACCACGACGACCTCGGTTCCGACTGTTCCGACCCCGTGGTCTATTATCCTCATAGCTGTTTGAAGAGGATCCTCCGGGTCCGTCATAGACTGGAAGGCTCGTGAAGGATTGCTGGTTTGAGAAGCTTTGGGATCTGTGAGTCGGTTTATTATAACCATAGCCAGTACCTTGGTTGGCTGAACTATTGTCAATTCCGGAGATAGGGTCGATGTGGGCCTTAGACTCTCCGTCCGCGTAAGGGTTGGTCTCCTTGAAGGCAGGCAAAAAATCTTTCAATCGTTTGGTCTCACGCATCGCTTCACGTTCGAGGCGTTTGTCTCGAATGGCTGGGTTGGCTACGGAATCGTCTGGCAAACGAAAGGTCATGACCGCAGTCCTGACGGCGAGATCATAACGGAAGGCAACAGGCCAGTTGGCGTTCTCTCTTTTGAGAGGTAGCACATTATCCTTGTGAGTTTTGAATCTTGCAGCCAACACCTTCCATTTGTAGTGTTCTAAATAAGCAACAAATAGGTCAAAAGCCACGACCCACTCGCCAAAGGTCATCTTCCACTCCAATGGAACAGGAAGCCCAACGTAAGTGTTCTCTAGCTTCTCTTTGACCGTTTTTGGGCGGATAGTTTGTTGCAGAAGGTCCTGACGCAACCATTGAGGGTTGAACACCGACACAGGGATATAAGCGTCTAGAGTGGTCATCTTGGATGCGAAATACTTGGAAAGGGCGACTAATCCGTGAGCCTCAATTCCTTTGTCGCTAAACTTAATGGTGCTAGTGGACTCTTCGGTCTTATCAGCTGGAGTGGATTCTTCATCTGCAGTGAGGTCAAAGACTTCGTTAGGGACCGAACGCTTATTTCCGGCGACTACAGAAGGTGTAGCGGTACCCTTTGGTACGGCCTGACTAGTCGAAGTAGGGGCTGGAGCAGGCGTTGCGCTGGTACGGTGACTGGCTACAGGGCGAGTAGCTGGAGTTGGCTGAACTACCGGTTGTGACGGGTTTGGTGCTTCTTGACAATTGGTATCACTGGCAACTAGAGCGCTGACTATGCCGGTCTTTACCACCTCAGACTCCGTAGAATCCGCCAACCTCGGCACTAAAGAGTATCCTTTGGAGGACAGCCACTCTTTTATCGCGTCTGGAGAACATTTGTCGATCCTGTTCAGGATCGTGTTGGTACCAGCTAAGAACTTGGCCTGGGCGGATTGGTGCGATGGGGGAGGTACTATCATGGCAGAACCAGAGTCATGCGACAAAAGGAGAAACAACCGTGTGTGTCTTAGTCTAACAACATCTGCATTGGGCATCTAGACTCTCTTCGAGGCATCACAAACGGGTGGCATCACGAAACGTGGCGTCGCTACAGCGGCATCACCGCAGTGGATGGAGGAGTCAAGCTTACAATTTGTGTTGCTGACGCCTGCTTTATTTATCACCTCAGGAGCTATGAGCTGGGTGGTTGAGGTCGTGCTTGCTGCTTGGTTACCCGCCAGGGACTCAGCGAGGTCCAGGCTACCGGCTTGCGTAGTGGCAGATCTTCCCTGGGAGCCTAAGGCGTTTGAGCCTGGGATGGCGTTCGCTCCAGTGGTATCTCCGGTAGGAGCTGGTTCCTTTGCAGATGCGTTGGTCGACTGCTCATCTACAGACGACTGACCGCCAGGAGGGGGCGCCGAGCCTGTAGGAGGGGCATCTGGTGTGTTACTGGGCGGGCTAGCACCTTTCTTTGACTTCTGGCCTTTACGAGCCTGGCCAGCCAGTAAGGTGGATGTCGAGCCCGTTGGTTGGGAGCTCCCTGTTGCCAAGTTGGTACCGTCGGTTGTGGCCTCACCTGGTTGGCCAGGTGGTGAGGTGGAATTGCCACGAATTCTGTCGCTGGTCCTCTTTACACTTGCGTTGAATTGGTTGATATCATTGGGATTAGACATATCTCGATACGAATTGGATTCAATATTTCAGGTGGATATATTTTAGCGATGAGATGTGAATGCTTCAAAGGGTTATAATCCGTATGAAGTAATAAAAGAAAAACTTTTAACGAAAGAAAAAGGCTCTAGAGAATAGAGCGAGTGAGATAATTGATAAGCTATGAATATCAACGCTCGTGGGATAATCAGCGAGAGAAGAAATGTTGGCGATAGTCAGAAATGGAGAAACTGAGTTTTTCCATTTGGATTCTGACTATATGCGCCTACATTACAGGAATCCTCGTTAGAGAGATACCACGTGACTTCTGCTCCTGAGACCCATATGCTTGTACGTGGAAGCCTATGGAACCGTCGTGCCTTTGGGCACCATATGTCATGAACTCTGATGCTCGCTTAGGCAGGATTCACAGGGGCCAAAATAGATACTCACATACATGTGAGCGTTGTAGACTTTTTGGAATTCTCCAAAAAAGATTCATTTTCTTTCAGATTGATTCAATTCACAATCTTGTTTGTGTTCAGGTGATCATCCTGTGGTTCTCATATTTTACTTGACATTTATTGAGAAGGCTCATTTCCATCTTGGATGAGCAATAACTGATTCCCGATGAGTACTCAGGATCAGCTCATGAGGCACTGGATACTCAGCAATTTGTTCAAAATGAAGATGAGCACATGAACTATAACTTCCTGAGGCTTCATTTTTCAGTGAAGAAGCCTGCCCAGGGGCGTCCCAATTGAGCTGCTCAGCAAATACTCAGTAGCATCCCCTGACTGGATCACTGATGGGCCGGACTTTTCTCAGACTTCCTTGCTAAGGAATGAAGCTTGATAAAAGCGTCATCCCATCTGCTCATTGCTCAGCTAATCCTCAGTGATATCCCCGGATAAAGTTTTTCACACTGAGGGGCTGAGATCAACTGATCAGCCCCTCAGCCAATACTCAGTGACATCCTCTGGATCTTTCTGATCCGGCCAGGAATGCCCCTGAGGACTAGCTGAGCAGGCCCTCATCCAATGAGCAGTGAAATCCTCCGGATGCTCCTGATCTCAGGGATGCCCCTGAGAAATGACTGAGCAGCCCCTCATCCAATGAGCAGCGAAATCCTCCGGATCCTCCTGATCTCAGGGATGCCCCTGAGGAATAACTGAGCAGCTCAGTTGAACGAGCAGACGGGCCTCAGGCTTCATTCCGGAGCCATGAAGCTTGAGGCAAGCTTGGCGCTCTGTGATCCATCTGGGGGATACTTCAGAGACTTAGCTAAGGGAATACTCAGTTCAGCTCAGCCCCTAAGCTATACATTGGTGGCATCCCTTGGAGCTTGCTGAACCAGGGAATGCCGCTCAGGATCAGCTGAGCAGATGGATCAGCCCTTCCTCAGACTTCTTTGCTCAGGACAAATGCTGAGGAAGTCGTAGTTTGTCTGCTCAGTTCCTGATGATCACGTAATCAGCTGACAAACAGAAAGAAAAGGGAAACAAATGGGAAACAAATGGGAACAAAACAGGAAAATTTCAACGCTCACATAGTTGTGAGCATCAATTTTTGCCCCTGTGATTAGTGTTCAAGTTTGTAAGGGAGTTTGTCTCTGTTTTTTCCTAGAGAACGATAATGAAGCGTGATTCATTCCGCATTAATGGCTCGTTCCATTTTCTTTTATTCTGTATGGTCGTAATGTATTCCAACGGCATGATAAACTCCGCACCTTTAATTTTTCCTATCTTTGTGATGTAATCCAATCAGCCTTTAATGAATGGAGGTGCCATTGATTTGAACTTTTATAACGGTCTTGAGTTTCTTTAATGGCACAAACTATCTATGAAGAAATTAATCTCAATACCTGAAAGGCTTTGAGAAAACTGTATCAAAGCTCCACATCTTGCGAAATGCGGAGCTTCAATACAGGACCATATCAGAAACTTAAAGATACATGCATCTTATTGAATTTCAAACAATAATTTCATTGATCAATGAATAATATAACTAAGATGGGTCCAATGTAGAAATCTCTGTAGACGTTGAAAAACTGTGACAAGATCATGGATTCATATAGATTTTTATAATTCACTAGGAACTTCTGTAGCTGTCTCAGATGGTACTCCAGCTTCAGTATCTGTCAAGTCACATGTGCGTTTCCTGGTAGATTTGACAAGGCACAAGGAAGGGCGCAAAGAAATGATATGTAAGTCAGAAGATGGATCTATAATCCGATTTTACAGTTGATCACTTACGTCTCCTCAGATAGAATTGCCCCGAGCATGGCGACATCCTTGTTATAACGTTTGAAGGTGCGCATAAGAGTTTTGTATCGTCTCTTTGAGCTTTTGAGTTGGGTCTTGAAGAGGCGACGATGTTGGACAAGTTCTGGATCACGGGAACGCAACAACATCTGAGCATATTGAAGTGGTTTTGAGACTCGCAGAGGTTGACAGTGATATCATGGACCTCATTGTCCAAATTGTGCATTACATCTGAGATTGCCTCAAGCTCATGAGTGTTGAGGAATTGGTGATTCTCAAGGTGAAAAGTTATGTCATGCGCCACATTATGAACAAATCCTTGGCAAAGGTGAAACCCAACATTCCTCCAAAACGATCGTGCACGTTCTGGTGTGTTGGTTTGTGAAAGTGCTGACATGGAACTCGATCATGATAGCCAGTGCTTCCAGGTCAGGTAGGAGCCTGTCGTTCGTGTGAATGTGGAAGATATAACCGGGTAACATCTGGCAACACAGTGTCCTATGAATTGGTTTAAGGGAATCATCAGATGAAGAGAAAACCAAAGTAAATGACATGGAAAAAACAACTGACAATAAATGCCAGGTGTTATAGAAAGTGTTTGTGATCACAAGAATTTCACGAAGATCAGTACCCATAATATATATATAGTGTCTTTGTTCTGAATACATGTGACTCGTTCATTGCTCATGTGAACCATTGACCTTTGTATTTGCTGTGTTACCTGGTCTGCTTCCCTTTTCTCTTCACAATTTGTCTCATTTGCTGACTTATTGTTATGACCCCTATAGCTATGATCCTTCCTTCATCAGTCTTCCAATCCCATGACAAAAGGTGAGTTTTTTGTAAAGTAACTTCCCCCGTTTGTATTATTGCGTAGCGCTAGTATCCTCCTCAGGGGTTCCCCGTGCTATGGCCACCTTGTAAGATGGTGCCCATTCACCTATGATCCCTATATTCGCAGTCACTGGATACTATCTCATGAATGGGGTACCTGATTATTTAACCCATTGTTATAAAACATCGGATGTTGAAGGCCGAGTGTATTGAAAGTAGCTTCGAAGAGCTTCAGTGATCAGGAAATCTTTGTTGTTGGTATGATGAGTCAACACAAAACAAATAATTATTGCCTAGATAACCACAGCATTTCACGCTCAACAATCAAAGGGTGAGTTAATTGTATTCATGTAGAATGTGCACTCCATCAAGTGTTTGATGAGATCAAGACGATACATTGATCACACTCACATTAAATAAAACCTCAGTGTCCTACTTTGATTTTTAGGTGTTCCCTTCTGTATCTCAATACTTGACCTTTCTTTTGCTACTTCAACTTTTTAATTGTATGCTTTAATTGAATCAATCTGAACATCCTCCATAGCTTATTTCTTTCCTCCTCATGCCATCACGTCCACGAGTTTCAGCACCAAGCAGTCGTGTACTCCAAAGTCGAGATCACCACGCCACCCAAACCCAGTCACACAAGATTGATGTGCCATCTAGTGTAACACCACTCAAACGAGGAAGGGAATTGGATCCTGAACCTGGTACGTGTAGAATGTAACTCTTGTAGGCTTTCTTTTGTGGTCTACACAACTCACTTATGTCGGTTGTTCAGCTTCCTTGGAAGATACAACGGAGGATGCTGGAGTTTTGGTCCAACACAAGACAAAGCGTGAAAAGCTCCTTGAGCTTCTTGATAAACGTATTAAGAAGAAACCCCGACTAACAAGCCAGTTGGCTGCGCAGCAGACGGAATTCGAAGGCAATAAAGGTAAACGGAAATCCCGAGAAACCCGCTCCTCAAAAAGCAAAACTTTACCCGTCCAGTCGTCGGCCACCAAGATCAAATCTCCAGCAGAAATATCAACTTCAACACAAGTGATTGCTCCTCTCAGTCCGCCGCAAAATCTCAACGACGAGGTAGATTACACCCGGTTTGATGATACCCAGCTGAGAAACACCTTAAGAGGAGTTGGGCTGGATACAAATCAAATGAATAGGGATGATCTCGTTTGGAACTGCAAGATATACCAAGATTTGAGTAAGTCTACTCATCTTTCCAACAGAAATCTAATTTAACACCACTTTGCCAGTTTTCCTGCCTACGGATTTGCCACCAGCTTTTGGCCAACAACCAATACACTCCAACAATCCTTCCTTTTCATTTACTCCCACCTCATTTGGTAAAGAGTCATGTACTACCCAAGGTAATACATCTCACTGCCCAACTGTTTTTTGAGTTCAGACTCAAAACTTACCAGAATTGTTCAATATTTCTTCAGAAACATCTAAAACACAAGTCACGGAAACCCCATTCGCGCATCCTGGCGCTACGGCATCAAACCTACCTATCTTGGAGCACAGGCGATTCCTTTATCCTCGCCCCCAACCTACCTTTATTTTGGCCCCTTCGCCGACTTCAAAGACAAGCAAAGGGAAAGGAAAGGCTAGAGAAAACTCTGATATTGTTTCCGATCCTGATTGGAGTCTGGGAGATGAAAAGATGGACTACTCTAACATGACTGACAAGGAACAGGCTGATTCTGATGTAGACTCTCTGCTTCGTGATCAAGGGCATGGTCATTCAGATATGGAGCAATCCGAGAAATAGCACGGAGAAGACAAGTAAGTAAATCCAAAATCTTTGCTTGTACTCAAGATTCTGGAGATTACAAATATGACGTTGAACCCTCTTTCTTTTGGGTTTCACACTATCACTCTAAGCTCTACAATGCCCAAAGACCAAAGATCAAATCCTTACTACATTCTCTGGAAGAAGACAAACATAAAGGTCGATTCGCTTGCAAGACAGATGAACAAATGGATTCAAGTTGTTGATAAATTAGTCAAGGATCATGGCGATAAGGGCATTTCTCCATCCAAAAGACGTGGTGGTTGAACGGCTGTAAGTTCCAATATGATGACAAACCTTCACCGTTGGCCTAATCCTGTTAAAATCGATTTTAGGCCCAGATTCGTTTTCATGTTGACACACTCCCAGGGTTAAAGGATGGATATACTCTCACTTCTATAGGCAGTCCACCAGATCCGTGTATGCAAGAGTCCACTCCTACAGGCCCATCCGCCTCTGAGACACCAATTGGAGCTGTAGACCCTCGCTTTCCCTACGAAAATGGGCCGGGGCACACGGATTCAACACCTCAGCAGCTCAAGATCATGCGGAAGATGCTTGACGACGCGGGGCTTTCAAGTTT